GAGACCGCGGGTTCGAGACCCGCCCGGGCAGCGAGACCTCATCTCTACAATAAATCAAAAAATCAGCCGGGCGTGGTGGCGCATGCCTGTAACTCCGGCTACTTGGAAGGATGAGGCGGAAGGATCGCCGGAGCCCAGCAGGTCGAGGCTGCGGTGGCCGGAAGCGGCCACTGCACTCCAGTCTGGGTGACAGAGTGAGACTTCCACTCAAAAAAAGAAAAAGAATTTAGTCATATGGAATCACAGAGGGGCTTTTGTTCAAGTCAAGTATTACATTTGTTATCTTGAAGCATTTAACTTATTAAATGTCCTAACTGAATTTTTTTTTTCCAGCTAAGCCCAGAAGAGGTAATCATACTCTGATTCATTGAGTGTTCCAACATAAATGATGTGTTGAAGAGAATGATTGATGACATAAGCTATGTGCAAAACTTTTCTCTTAGGTTACACTCATATCTTTCATCTGCACTGGAATTTCCTTCATAACACACTTACGTCTGGACAGAACTGACACCATTGTTAATAATAGCATCTAATTCATCAGCGGATCTGGTCAGCTCTCCCTCCAGAATATATCCCAAATCCAACTACTTTGTACAACCTCCACTGCACCCTCGGACCCCCTCAGTCCAAGTAACTATCTCCTCTCCTTCAGACTGTCACAGTAACTTTATAACAGGTCTCCCTCCTACTCGTTCCTCCCTGGAGTTTATTCTTCACACAGTGTGTGTGGTATGCAATTGGGAAACCAGAGGCTTCCCATCACATTTCTAATAACTTGTAGGTTTTTCAAAGATACATGCTGCTGCCTCCAGCTATCAGCCTGACTGTATCTCCTGTCCAGCCCCTTCATATACTGCTCTCCAGCTCCAAGTCTTTGTTCCTTGCAGTTTTTTCATGGAGAATGCTATTCCCTAGGCTTCTACATCTAGACTTCCTCTCTTTCATTTCAGTTGTCAGCTCATCAACAGGCCTTCCTTGATGGCCTTGCTAATGATCTTATCCTGCTTTATTTTCCTTTCTTTTCACTGCTCTACATTATGCTCTATATGTATTTATGTATAGTCAGCAAACATTTTCTGTTAAAGGCCAGTTAGTAGATCTATTAGGCTCTGCGTTCCATACTGTCTCTGTTGTGACTACAAAACTCTTGCTGTTGTAGCATAAAAGCAGCCATTAATAATGCTTAGATGAATAAGTAAGGTTTATAAACCTAATTTTGTGGATACTGAAATTTGAATTTCATAAAATTTTCACATTTCACAAAATAGTAGTATTTTGATTTTTTTCCCCCCAATCACTTAAAAAATGTAAAAACCATTGTTAGTTCATGAACTGAACAAAAGCAGGCAGTGGATGGAATTTGGCTTGCGGGTTGTAATTAACTGGTTCCCGCTCAAAAATGTAAATTTCATTGAGTTAAGGGTTTTGTTTTATTTATTTATTTATTTATTTGTTTTTGAGTTAGAGTCTCACTCTGTTGCCCAGACTGGAGTGCAGTGGCCGCTCCCAGCCACTACAGCCTCGACCTCCTGGGCTCCGGCGATCCTTCCGCCTCAGCCTTCCAAGTAGCTGGAACTACAGGTGCGCACTACCACGCCCGGCTAATTTTTTGATTTATTGTAGAGGTGAGGTCTGGCCAAGTTGCCCAGGCGGGTCTTGAACCCATGGCTCAGGCAATCCACTCACCTCAGCCTCCCAAAGCACGGGATTACAGGCTGAGCCACCAAGCCCAGCTTGTTTTCATTTTTTGTTGTTAAGTCTCTAGTACTTACTATAGTGCTTGAACGTGTTCAGGATATATAGAATTAGACCACAGGAGACTATTTGACTTGTAGTAAATGTAGACCATAATTATGGTGGACCCTGGCAATGAAAAGCATAAAAATGCCATGTTTTATTAAAATCATTTCTTGCATTTATGTTTCAATATTTGTGCTGAATGTTGGTTGTTCCTAGTGTTGTTTTATTATAACTTTTTAGGGAACTGCTCTGAAATGGATTTCCTATCTGATACTTTATGCAGGATGTGGCCTTGTTTGAGATGAATCAATCGGATTCCAAAGAAGACAGTTCAGAAGAGAGTTCACAAGACAGCTCAGAGAACAGTTCAGAATCAGAGGATGAAGATGACAGCATTCCTTGTGAAGTTACCATAAATAATATTAAGCTTCCTAATTCTGAAGGTGGAAAAGGCAAGATTGAAGTTTTGGACAGTCCAGCTAGTAAAAAAAAGAAGTAGCAAAATAAATAATCTGAAAAGAAACAGGTCATATGTGCCTGTGAATTCTGTGAAAAAGAATGTGGTTCACTGGCTGTTTTGCATTTCAGGTACCTTTGGTACTTTTATGTGCTAAGGGAAAAATTTAGACAAATTAAATTTAACAGAGTTCATTTGAGCAAAGAACAATTTATGAGTCAGACAGCACTTTAAACTGAAAGGGGTTCAGAGACCTCTGCTGTATAGCTTGGGAAGTGTGTTTTTATAGGCCAAACTGAAAGTACAGTTTGCCTTATTTGGGCATCGTCTGATCACTTGGCTGCCTGTGATTGGCTGAAGGTTGGTTTTTTTGTTACAAAATATATACTCCTAAGTTAGGTCTTGGTGTATTTATATACTAAGTCAGGTTGTGGTTAGTAATGACCTCCTTCCTGTTTGTTTAATTTAAAAATTCTCTACCTTTGGTCAGCCCCTTAGTCTTGAGGGATTGCCTAAAACTAGTCACTGACATCACTCTCTGTCACCATTATAATGGACTTATTTGGTCTCAGTATGGGATTTACAAGTCATGATTTAAGGTAAACGAAACCAGACCAGGCGAAACGGCAACAAGGGAGCCCAGAAAAATTTATTAGTGCAATCCCAGGCGAGGTTCACCGGTCCATGTAGCTGTGGGCTGGAGAATTCGCACCCAGCAAGATGGACCATGGGTTTATAAAGGGCACACTGAGAAAGCTGTGAGGGGGTTGGGGAGAGCAATCACTGGTTGGGACATGTCTGCTGGTGATTGGCTGAATAGGGTTGCTAGAGTCACTGTAATAGGTACTGGCTGGCTTTGCGGCTGGAGTCTTAGTTCCGGTTACTCATTTTTGCTGGCTCACTCTTGCCCATTGTTCTCCTGGTCCAGGTTGGAGCCATCTTGTTGCGGCCCGCCCTGCCCTCTGGTACCTCCGGCCTTACATTCCAGCCTTTTGGTCATAGGGGTGCCGGGCGCCGGCTCGTTCTAGCTACTTCCTGCTGGGGAGAGGCGGCATGGGAAGGTCTTAAGGCTGGTTTGGGGCTGGAGGTGGTTCGGACGGAAGGGGCAAGTATGAATGTAACAGTAGTTGGTTGACCATTATTCGAGAGAGCTCTGCCAGGTGCTGTTGGAGAAACCTAAAAACACACAGGGCCACCGACAAGAGGATAAATACAACAATCAGTGGAGTCAGAACAGGGAGAAGCCACGTTAGAAGCTGGGGTTGCCACCACCCTGAGATTGGGCCTCTGGTCAGGTCTTCTTTCCGTTTTTGGAGGTTTTCTTGTAATTGTTTAATTCTGTCCTTGACTATCCCTGATTTATTGGCATAGAAGCAGCATTCCTCCCTAAGACATAGGCATATCCCTCCTTCTTTCGCTGTTAGCAGGTCTAGTCCCTGTCGATTCTGGAGGACCATGTCTGTGAGGGAATCTAGCTGTGTTTGTAAGTCTAGGACCGTGTCGGCCACCTGTTTTATGTCCTTGATCAGTTGGGAGGAGAGCTGTTTGTAAAAGTGAAGTGAGTGTCCCAGCCCTGCTGCCCCCATTCCCATGGCCGCAGTAATATCCAGCCCCGCCAGCAGAGGTATGAGCTCAACTACCTGCCTTACCCGCGACGTTGAGGAACCAACCAAGGGGACAGGCAGGCTTTGGTTACCGGGTACTATTACAACGGTGGGGAGGAGGATGACAAGAATGCAGGACCCCAACCAGTCGGGGGGCAAGACCGGGTAGATGGTAGTGCTGCACAGAAAGGCAGTCCCATTAAGTGGGGGGCAGAGGGTGTTATTTGATTGGACCACAAGTGATCGTGAGCAGAGGCGGAGGGGGGCCCATCCGACCCCCAGAGTGCCGTTTCGGTTATACACTGGGCCGTGGGCAAGTCATTTGGGAGAGGGATGTCAGAACGCGGTAGTGAAGGTGGACATTGGGTTGGAGGCATAGGGAGAGTTCAATTTCCTGTGATCGGGACAGGGGAGACCCAGGACTGGCCGGACCTGAGGCGTAGACAGCAGTCCTTTGTTAAGTCAGGGTTAGTAAGATTAAGCAGGGTATGGGTTTTGTTAAGGACAGAAAGGAGTTCCGGGTTCGTCTGATAAGGGCCTTGGGGTTTTGGGAGGTTGGGGCGCACTAACACCAGTCCACTGAAATGTTGAATGAGTTCTTCCATGACCCGCTTGGTGTTCTGCTGTTCTGCGTAATTCTGCACCCTCCCCCGTCTGATTTACCTACAGGAGGTCTGAGGTTTCAGCAGATCTTTTGTCCCTGGTGCCTCGGACAAGAATACTCAGTGCGTTGTTCCATCCTGCGTCCCATCCAGGCCTGTTATTTGGTTGGTCTGAGGCAGACCGAGGCTTGCTCGTAGCAAGGTGCCTGGACAAAAGAATGGAAGGTTGAACACTTAGTGGGGCAAGGGGGTATCTTTCCTTGGGGATTTGGTGGGGGGTCTTGCTCCCAGCGGCG